CGGGACGGGATGTAGATAGGAGTGTCTTGCCCCAAATTATTATCTTTTTTATATTTTATAAATTTACTTAAATTATTATATTAATAATATTATAATAATATAATTTTTATGATTTATTTTTATCTTCAAAAGAAAGTATAAAGGTAACCTAAATCCCTAATTAATCAATTTCACAGCATTGGCATTGCCACACGAAGACGAAAGAGTACAACAATTGTTCAGCCTCTACTCAACTTGAAAATTGCGATCAAGTTGGTCTACTCTAAACTTGAACAAATATTTCACTTTGTTGGAAATTGTGCCCTAGGGGCCAATCATTATGTTTTGAACATTGTTAATTTATGAATTTATTAATTACGTTATCATATTATTTGCATGTTTACTGTGATGACTATCCTTGGATAACTCATGGTTTATCCTAAATGTCCCTGGTCGGTCATCTATGTGGGAGCAAAGATGAAATAAGACCAGTATGACTTTAAAGATATATAGAGATATAAATGAAAGTCATAGGCACATGTAAGAGTACAAGGTGTTGGACCGACCCGCTATGAGAGAGCTTGCATGGGTTAAGTCATAAGCTTCTCTCATATACAAACCATGTCACTGTGCCCTTTGACCTGAGATCATCATGGATTCCTACATGAGAAACGCTTAGCTTTGACCTAGTCAAAAGTCACTTTTGACCGAGTGATCATAAAGACTATGTTCAGGCTTAGTGGTTTTTTATGCGGAGGAATGTGAATGGTCAAGATGGAATTTGTCCCTCACATTCGTAGAGAGACATTACTGGGCCCCTCGATGAGTGAGTCTGAGAAATGTATGGCCATACTATAATGGAAAGGTAGTTCCGTTTCTATACTCAGACTACTCAGGGATCGAGAAAGTAACGGTCATGAATAGGAGGATGACATTCTCCATGCCTCATCCATGACCAAAATGTCGTGTGACAAAAGGGACGTGATATGATTGTATGAAAGGTTACATCGTTCAACGATCCTCATATGATTTGGGTAGTCGTGATGTCTTGCTAGAGACCGCTTACGACTTGTGAGTCATTATAGTTAATGGCCCACTGCCAACTTCATATGGGCCTACAGGGTCGCACACAAAATAGCCCAACACGAGTTATGATGTCCAGATTCATTGAATAATATAGGGTGGACGTGTATATATATATAAATTCGTATATATATATTATATAAATATAAGAGATATTAATTGTTAGATTTAATTTATAAGGATAAATTAAATATATATAAATTAATTCCGTCATCTCTTTATTAAATAAATAGGTGAATTAAATCTGTGAGACGGATTTAATTTAAACCATATTTATTTAATTGTTCTCTTATCTGATTAGGCAATATTTGATATTATATTAATTTCGGAATTAATTTAGAGTTAATTTCGAAATTAAATATTATTCATTAAACCTATAGCATCCTATATATTTGATATGAGGAGCTAGGGTTTTAAGCGTGAGAGTACCAACAGATAAGAGACGACCTAAGAGAGATAAGAGTGGACGGATTCTCTGAAAACCCTAGACGGACAAAAGGGCGCTAGCAAGCCGTTTGTAACCGGAGAGCTATTCGTGTGGATACCAGTAGAGGAAGCCGACCGAGTTGTCGACTTCGAACGATAAAGGAGGCGAGCAGAGGCATCCTGAACGGCGGAATCACCAAGCCACTCGGAAACCAAACATCGAAGGTAATACTTCTTACTACCTGACTTAAATGCGATCGGTAGATCCGGGCAAGGGATTGAAAGTTTTATCCGCTACGCGTCGTCTTTCAATCCCCTTCACACTTTTGCCTCTGCCCATATCACTCCTTTGCAAGGTTTTATGTTTTTTTTTTAATTTTGTTTTCTTTTTTTGTTTTCCTTTTGCGATTTGCCTTTGAACTTTCAAATAACATGTTCATTTTTTTATTTCCATTCCATGATATGATGTGGGTCTATGCGACTATGTGTAGTGTCAAAGGCTTAATAACTCTCTACTATAAATATTACTTTAATTAAAATAATGTTCGTTGTTTTGTTCCCTTATAGTGAGTGGCCATTGAACTTTTAATTTAAAAAATTGAGTAGCATCATTCTTTTTTATTTTGTTGATTTTGTTGGCAGGACTAGTATTTAACTTTTAAAAGGTGCCGTGTCTTTACATTGGAAAGAACAATGGCCTCTACAGAAACACTTGGAGAAATCATACAAAAAACTGAAGTAGATCCCCAAACTCAAATTGCATCAGCACTTGTTACTAAAGAGGAAAAAGACGCAAATGTAACAAATAATGTAGGAGAAGGAGAAGAAGAAGGATCAAGAAAAAGACATAGATCTTCTGTTTGGGAGCATTTTGAAAGGCCTTCTTTAGACTCAAAAGGGGAACTCCGAGCAAAGTGTAAGTTTTGCTAAAAAACAATTGCTTGTGGCCTTACATATGTCACAAATGGATTGCTAAAACATGTAAATAGGTGTCCAAGAAATCCGAATAGAGCTAACAAATTCAAGCAATCTTTGTTATCGAGTTCTTGCATAGGAACCACTAATACTTTGACTCATCATTTATTTAATCAAGAACAATGTAAAACAGCTCTTGCAAAATTTTTGATATTGGATGAAATGCCTTTTCGGATTGTTGAAGGTGAGGGTTTTAAAGGGCTATTGAGTGAATTAGAACCTCGCTTTCATATTCCCTCACAAGCAACAATTACTAGGGATTGCTTGAAGTTGTACCTTCAAGAAGCAACAAATTTGAGAAGGTATTTTAAAAGAAAAAAAGTCTGTGTTTCCCTCACTACAAATACTTGGAGTTCTAATTAGAATTCTAACTACATGTGCTTGACTGCTCATTAGATTGATGAAGATTGGACATACCAAAAGCGAATATTGAATTTTTGTGCAGTTGAAAACCATAAGGGTGATACAATTGCAGCTGAAATTGAGAAATGCTTATTATTTTGGAGTATTGATATAGTTTTTAGCATCACAGTTGATAATGCTTCTTCAAACGACATTGCAGTAGCAAAATTGAAAGATGTTCTAAAACATTAGAATGGTTTAGTATGTGATGGGGACTTCCTGTACTTGCGGTGTTGTGCACATATTTTGAACTTGGTTGTTTCTGATGGTGTAAAGGATATGCACAGGTGTATTGAAAGCATTCGAAATGCCGTTAAGTATGTACGAAGTTCTCCAGCAAGGTTTCATAAATTCAAACAGCTTGTGGAGAAAATGAAAATTGATTCAAAGAGTTTACTTATCATGGATTGTCCAACTAGGTGGAATTCAACTTACATAATGTTGGAGCGTGCCATTAAATTCAACAATGTTTTTGAAAGGATGGAGAAAGAAGATATAGATAACACAACCAATTTCTTAAAAAAAAAATTAGTTGGTCCTCCTGATGCTTTGGATTGGAAAGATGCAAAAGATTTTGTTTTGTTCTTGCAAGAATTCTATGACATCACTTTACAATTTTCAGGATCACTTTATGTTACCTCAAATTTATGCTTCCAACAAATAGTTGATGTGTTTATTATGCTAAATAAAAGTGCAAATGATCCTAGTTCTTTGGTGGTTGACATGGCTAAGAGTATGCAAAGCAAGTATAATAAGTATTGGGGAAGGTTAGAAAATCTTAATCATCTACTAGTGATAGCAGTTGTACTTGACCCTAGGTATAAAATGAAATATTTGAAATATGCTTTTGGGGATATATTTTGTGATGTTGCACAACAAGAAGCCATGGCAAAAGAAGTCTCAAAAGTCTTGTATTGTTTGTATGATCATTATTCAAATAGGCTTGGCACATCAACTAGTCAAACTCAGAGTCAAGCACAAACAAGTGGTAATAATGCTTCTTCGACTCAAACATGTAGAACCTTGTTAGGTTCCAGGTCTTCATTGCAATGATTCCTTACTAACAATGACAATGAGATTTTGGCAGATAAATATGCAGAGGTAGACAAGTATCTTCAAGCTAAGCTAGCTGAAGCACGTGATCCTGACTTTGATATTTTGGGATGGTGGAAAGTGAATAGCTTTAAGTACAAGATTCTTTCATTAATTGCACGTGATGTGTTAGCCATGCGTGTCTCTACTGTTTCTTCAAAATCTGCATTTAGTACAGGTGGCCATATCATTGATGAATTTAGAAGTTCGCTGTCATCAAAGATGGCTGAGGCACTAATTTGCACACAAAATTGGCTATCTCCATCAATAGTAAAACTAAAAGGACTTGATACTGATAACTTCAACGACACTAATGTCATAGTACAAGGTAATATCTATTTATTGTTTTATTTAATTCCAATTTTGTTCACATTTGTTAATTTAGTGGTAATTTTTTTTTGCCTTGTGTTTCTTTTTTGTAGAAGAATTAGTAGCTTTAAATATTTTAGACAAAGAGGAAGGATCGAAGAACTAGAAAATGTTGAATTGTTTATTGTTCATTCATGTTGGCTACTACATTGATTAAGTTGTTTTATTTTGGACTTACTTGTTATAATTTGTTGAAACCCGTTGTTGGCAACTATAATTGTTACCTTAGTGGAAGCTTGTAGCTAATGATTGTTACTTTGATCATGTTATTTACAAGTTTTTCTATAAGAGTTTTGTGATATTTTTTAGTGGTCATTTTAAGTTTATTTATTTTTTTATCTTTTAAGATTATTAGAAACTTTTTTTGTTACCAATTTTCGATCACTACCAATTTTGGCTAGTTGTTATCTATTTTTTGCACAATTTTTATCATGGATATTTTTTTTACGTTTTATGTAAAGCTGATTTTCAAATAAAAAAAATTAAAAGACTATACGGGTCCTAATCGGGATGGGACATGAGACAAAAAGGCTGTCCCGTCCCAATTTTTGGGACAGGACTAGGATGGGGTCCTCCCTGTCCCATGCCGTCTCGTCCCATGAATACCCCCATGTTAAACAAGAATTAATTGTTAGCCTATATAATTGTTCTACTATATTAGCTTGAAATAAGTAAAACATTAGGTTATAAAATTTTTTATATAAAAAAATGATGATATTGATGGGAAAAAAACAAAAAAAATACCATATAGCTAATATCATCACTAATATGTTGGATCCATCATCTTGTATGTCTCCAATACCCTTGCATGTACTCAAATATTTGATTAAATTCAATAAGTGCTAGAGGAGTATTAGCAATAGCATGTAGCTATCCATTCCACGCTTTAATGAAATTAGAGTATTATTGAGTCCAATTTATAGTTATTCTGCCACGTAGTTATATTGTATGGTAATTTCCTAAATGAACAGGTATGATAGGAATAAGTTGTTAACGATTGAATTGTCTTAGTACGCGATTAGGGCGATGCCATTCTATAATATGAAAACATATTAGAGGAACTGAAGTTAGCTAAATTTTAAGTGTTACCAAGCAATACTTTGGAATTAATTAGCGCACTTTAGAAGACTCATATGGTTGCCAAATTATATCGTCATTGGTCATTCTATCAAACAAATTCTTATATTAATGTAAGGACATAATGTTTAGACAAGGATTTTGTCCTGCATTTCCATCTAGCATTATCAACAAAAAAAAGTAGTATTTAAATTTGTAAGATTTCAATAATAAGTACATGTCAAATATTTGTTGTGCAAGTTCGGCACACATGAAATGTAAAGGAGGTAAGAGAGGGTAGATATCATATTGTAGATATGAAGATACAAGTCATTGTGGTAGTAGCAAAGGGAATCGATCCCATGCCCATAAATATAATAATGATAAGTACCCTCGAATCCCATCCTTAGCTGGATTGGTAGTATTACATAATTCTCTGTATAGATGAGCCAAAACTGCTAAATCCTAACTAAAATTTTCAACTTTTTCCAGATTATAAAGTAGTGAAAGGTACATTATTAGTACCCAATATAATTGACAATGCACAATAGCCTTAGAGGATGCTCCTATACAGTTAGGCATTCCATATGTAGGAATGCTTGTCATTGAAAAAACTAACTTTAATTAGCTAGATGTTTGTGAATGGCTTCTAAAAGTTAGACTGCCTGCAAATAGAATACATAGATAATGACTACTTATGAGTTGGTTGGAAAAGCACTTTAATTGCTTACTTGATGATGCAGATGATGTACAAGTTTAACAATTCACTCGTGCATATAATAGTGAAGTCTATCCAATAAGTTAATGCACAAATTGCAGCTTATCAAGTGTTTTTTGAGACACTAACAAAAAAGTTAACTCTATACATGATTGTCTTTACCAAGCTAGTTATTGATAGACTTCAAACACCTTTGAATACCCTATTCATGCACTCTGCAAGGTTGGTTGTCGTGCATCTATAACGTTGAGATGGCTCCAATCTATCTAGTAGCAGGTGCATATTGCAATGCTATCTCTACTAATTGTTGGTCAATGACATGATATTTATATGCATACCCTACAAATAGCTACTAACTTGTTAAAGATAATCATAAAATAATAAAGTTAGTATATCATGAAATAACACAAAGAATCTCACCAATATTTATAAATTTCTCTTTCAACAAAATTAATTCCATGTGCTTTGTGAAGACTTTAGGTCATGTGTCGCAGGCAAAAACATGGTGTGCATTTAGTGGCTACCATCCAAGTTGACAATTAGAAATAGTAGCCAAAATTGAATGATGTCTGTTTGAAATTAAACAAATTTCTATTCTATCTTTTACAACATAGTGGCACACATGGTATAAAAACCATATCCAAGCAGATCTTGTCTCCCCTTCAACTACCGTAAATGCAAGCGACATAACATTTCTATTACCATCTTATGATATGGTCATAAGTAATGTGCCTTTTTACTTTCCATATAAGAATGTTCTATCAACTTGTATAATGGGCTTTAGGTGTGGAAATGCATCAATGCATGACTTGAATGCCCAAAACACATGGCGAAATATTTCAATTGGTTCCTCATTTGTATTGACTTAAGAGCACTGTTTATTTGAAAAATATATGTATGATTCAAGCATGCAGTGTTGTACTATGACCAACCACCTTAGAAGTAAGGAATATGAGATCTCTCAATTCCCAAAAGCAACAACAATGGCTAATTGTTTTGCATTCTATGTCGTCTTATATGATATTGTATAACCAAACATGGATTGTATCCTCTCTATAATTTGAGACACTTTTACATTTGGCTTGTCAGTTATTATTGCCATGATATAAGATAATAAAACATCAGCATCTAACTTTAGATGGTCTTGAGTTAATAATGTACTTAAGCCTGTGTGAGCCCCCATATTTTGTAATCTACCAAAAGTTTCTATTTTTCTTCTTACAAGCTCTTAACACCATAGTTAATACATTGATGTTCTTTATACTTTTTACATGAATAATAGACCTTGAATGTGTAATAAACTGGAACAAAGTATAACTTGACTGCGCATCTTAAAACACGAATATTGCTAAACATCTTTTTGATATGTAACTCTTCATTATGACTGAAAGGTGAACTTTCTTCTAGTTTGCTAAACTTAAAAGCCACAGTTGACTCAACATTAATATGCGAGAAGAAAGCAGATGCTAGCTCATTGTCCTAATTTATCTCGTCATGTTCATCATTGTCATCATTAACATTCCTGTCAATAACATTTAAATAAGAATCATATCCATCCTCATCCTCAAATTCATCTATGGGAAGAGAACAAAACAGTCCGTTGTTGCCATTATCTAGGGGAAGTTTAATTGGGTGAAGATTTTCCATGTGATTGCTAAACATGGATTCTTCTTCTACAATGTTCACCGATTACTGCTTGATGGAAGATTGTTTCCAATATTGTTGTTCATTAGTTGTGATTCAATATGGCTATCATCTTCTAAGTCACATATATTGGCATCTAACTTTACACATGTTAACTAAGCTGAGAATCGATGACTTACTTGCCATATTCGTTGTACATCTGAATCATCTTCTAGATTGCATGCTTGGTATTGTGGTGGATTTATGCACGTAAGATATTTGTATACTAGATTTGTCATAGAAAGTCATAGCTTTTGTCCAATAACTCCTTCAATCTACCCAATGTAATATTTGGATAAACTTTCACTACTTTTACTCTATTAGACTCAAATGTTGCACTGGTTCAGCTGTTAAAAATTTGTCCATTTACAAATATACACACAAACTCCTTTCTATGATCCATTCTGCTTCCTAAATATTACATTATAATTATTAATTAAGTAGACGTAAATAGTAAAACTAAATTAACTCCATAATATCATTATTTTTTAATTCAATTATTTATATATATTTTTCAAAAGAGAGTTATACAACTAATCATTTACTAGCGTTATAAAAATTAGACTACTCTTTTATTTAGAAACTCATTTACATTTTTAAGTAAGACAATAACCTGCAATATCTTTAAAGAAATAATGACCATGGAACATCTATCATAAAAATATTAATATGTTAAATTTATTAAATTAAAAATATTAACTTAAATTTAAAATAAACGTTATATATTAAAATTATATTATAAATTCTAATATATAAATATAAAAATAATAATGTAAATTACATATTTTAAATATATTAAAAAATAATTTTCTATTCATTATTTGATATATTCCATTTTATTCAAACAATATTATAATTAAATATTATAAAAAATATGAATTAAAAAAAATTCTTAGTTAACAAATGTTGGAGACAAGACAAGAGATACCATACTGTTGTGCGGCAGCAGGTCCTTATGATTTTATATTTTGATATTAATATAATAATTGATAATTATTTTAGTGCTAAAGAGAGCTTCTTTTAGGGAGGAAAATTAATAAAAAAACACTCCTTTCTTTCATCATTATTAATCCCACCATCAATACTTTTTTATTAGGAAAATTTTGGCATCATTTAGTGCTAGTTTTTATTAACCAGAATAACCTCACAACCAAACACTATCTAACTAGATATATATTTACTCAAACACTATCTACTCAATATATATTTAATTTGATTATAAAAATTTAACTGCAATTTATTTTATATGAAAATTAATTATATGTCTAAATTTTTTAATTAAAAGAAACTCAATAAGTAAAAATGACTAAATATAAAATTCTTGCCCATCATTTAGCAAAATACGTGCAAAAATTATAAAAGAAATTAATCAAGAGAATGCACTTTAGTAAGATAAATAATCAAGCTTCAAGTTGAGATAAAATATATACAATGTTTGCAAGATAGCACACACCACAAACTTCAGTGAACAAAATTGTGGAAGGAGGAAGAAGAATGAAAGAAGCTAGAGAACTGAGGTAGTAAAGAGAAATGCAGATTTGAGTGGGGAAAAAATAAACGTTGCATGCATTATATACCCAATAATGAAATGTATACTGTACACTCATATGCACAAAAAACAAAAAAAGAGACTCGACCAGGTGTGAGCCGAGGAGATTTTAATGGGAATACATGGGGAAGGAAAATATAGCATGTCCATGAGCAGCCTTTTGCACGTGGAAATGAAAGAAGCATATGAAGGAAAATTGCTTATGGGGAAAGGTGTAGATAAAATACAAAATGGATTTACTTTTGGAAGGTGGGCCTCACTGAAATCATTCTTGCTAAGAAAGAGTTTTAGTTTTGTAACGTGGATTTCACTAAACTCATTCTCAGTCTGAATGAGTTCTGTACAAATGTGAAATCAATCACACTTTGAATAATTTTTAACTATGACATTTTAGTAAGTATTTTTGATCATATCACATCTGAACAAATTTTTTTTTTACTATTTATCACATATGGGTAAAAAAAAAAGCCAAGTTTGAGGAGAGGAAGAGAATGAGAACAAAAAAAACGCGTGAAAGCATGCAGAGAGAGTATTATGCTTGACAAATAAAAAAATTAGATCGGGTAGAAAGAAGAAAAGTAAAGAGAAAGGGAGGGAACAGATAGCTGTTGATTTGGAATTTTGAAAGGACAAACAAAGGCAACAAAAAAAAAAAAGAGAACCTGTTTGGGTGCTCATCTTAAGAGCTAATCTCTTTTAGACGATTTAGATCTGATCTGCATTGTCTATACTTATTAAAATAATTATTTTAAAAAATAAAACAAAAAAAGAAATTAAATCTACACCATCTAAATCTCATATAAATAGTCTAGATAAGATGAGTTCTGAGTGTTATTTTTAAGGTGAGCACTTAAACTCATTCTGACAAAAATAAAAGAGTGATAATGAAGCTATATTTGGAGTGGGTTTTAAATTTTGAATTTGCCTCTCAATGTACTGGCTTACATGAAGCCTGAGGCTTCATTAATATATGAGTTATGGCTTAAACAAAGCCATTTGTAAGGGCTAGCTTGGGTGGAAGATTTTTCGATTATATATTGATAACAAGCTAGAATGAGTTTCACGTCTTTTCACATATTCAAAATGTATTTTCATACTGATTTTTGTTTTATTATATAGTTTATTTCTCTATTAAAAATCATAATTATAATTTATTTTACTGTTAATTGGAAAATATAGTTATTTTATTTTTGTTATAGTTACTTTATTTTTGTTAAATATATATCTGATTATTAGGTTATATATAAATATAATATACTTTGATGATGGATTAAAGGGTTGATATTCATTTAGCACCCTAAAGTATTTTTTTCAAATACATCCATTATTTTAAAATATTTTGCAATTCATCTAACATATCAAATATTTTTTTTAAGTGTTTCTAATATTCCAAAATATTTTGTGATTTACTTAATATATCGAAATATTTATTCAGATATCTCAAGTACTCTAATTTAGGATTTAAAATTTAGGTTATTTAAAGTACAAGACACACTTAAAAAATATTTTAGGATATTGGATGAATAACAAAATCTTCCAATGTGTTGGATGAATTCCAAAATAGTCTAAGATGTTATTGTATTTGAAAAAATACTTTAAATTGTTGGATTAACCATAACTCTAAGTTATAATGATAATAATTTTATTTTTTATTAAAATAAACTTATTTTAATATATTTTAAATTAAATGATACAGTGTTTCACATAAAAAAAATATTTAAATCTTTCAACATCATATGACTTCTAATTAGTATTCATGTGTTATTATATTATTGGTAAAAGAACACATGCTCAATAATCATGAGTACTTCTCGCATTAATAATTGGACAAGGGACATTAATTTATTTTAAATGTCACTTAACAGAAGATTCCTTTCTTGAAGGCAATTCAAAGAAAAATAAATTACATTATGAAATAATGGCAACGTCACCTCCCCACTCGGTGGAGGTCCAGATTTCAAAATCTGCATTGGTATATGTATTAATTTGATTAGTTGGCAAAAAAAGAAAAATAATTTGATTAAGTTATGAAAGAGTATGATCCTAAAGATCCATATTAAATTGGTTTTTCTTTCATTTTAAAATTTTCTTAAAGAAAGGAATCTTCAATTAAATTACACTAATAATAAATTAATGTCCAATTCTTCAATGCACAATTATTGGGGCGGCATTGGGTGGGCAGAACTCATGGTTATCAAACATGTGTTCTTGTGTCTCAAATTAAAAAAAAAATAGATGAATAATTATGAGTTAATATTAAGTGAAAATATTTTAACATTTTCAAATAAAAGAAACTATACTATTTTAAATTTGAGGAATAAATAAGTAAATTCACATTTTTTTTAATATATTACGCATATGCAGGTTGATGAGAAAATTGCTAGGAAATCCCTCATTGTAAAATTTAATTAATTTATTACCCAATCATGTCTATTGACTAGGGCCCCTACCCTGTGCTTAGTACCGAGGAATTGGAGGGAAAGATATAGGAAAATAAATTTTAATGAGGTTGATTTAAAAATTTAAAAAAATAGAGTTATAAAATTTTGATAAAACCAAATATAAGATAAAAAAGCATGCTAAATTAACTTAAAGTTTTTAATCCTACTTATTTAATTTTTTAAATCGAGCTCGTTAAGATTTTCCTTTCCCTCTCCTTTCCTCCATTCCCCTCGCACCAAAAAAACTCTTAAACGAATGCTACTTTCGATTATTAATATAAGAGCTAGTTGATTAATTTGAGTAGATTGAAAAAATTAATTAAATTAATTATATATAATAAATTGGTATGATCTTTCTTAAAATACCCTTATTAATCTAGTGTATTAATTAGAGCTATTATCACTACAAGGATTACTTAAAAAAAATAAATATGAAAGACAACATAAATTGAGATCTTATATTTAGAATCAAATTAAAAGTCAAATAATATCTTATATTAGGTATATGAGATAATATAACATATCATCACTCATATGCAAATATTTTTCATTTTGTTCCTAATTAAAAATAGGTTGTACATAGTTGAAAAGGAATGGGAGAGTTGCAATTAAGTTCTAAAAAAAAGAAATAATTACTAAAAAGTTCTAATAACAACATGAGTAGTCTGTAATAACAGATTCTAAAGTTAAGAATGACACACATATATAATTTATTTTGTAATTTTTTTTTCCCTTTCTTAGGACTTCTTTGAAATTCTAAAAAAAAAAAATTGGCACCCGCCGGAAATACGATCCACCCGCATCCTTAACCAAATTTCAGGTGCCTTGAGGCCATAAACTTTACAATGGGGGGATTTTTTTTTTAGTGATTTTCTTCATGTTGATTAAATTAAAGTCTAAAGAAGCAAAATGACAGATTAGAGGGCAAATAAAACGTAAACAATGAGATTATTGCACACATAGCAATGAATTGACAGCATTAGCATCTGCGCGTGCCTCCTCGGAGATCAAAGCTCCTCCCGAGATGCTGGTCCAAGCTTTGGCCCCCTTCATCCGCACTCAACGGCCAACACTGCCCTCATATTCCATATCCAACTTGCTCTCTAGCTGACTCGTTTCCTCGTCTTCTGAGTCAATCCCTCTGCTCCACTCGTTCCGAGATCAACCTTCTTCACTCGCAATTTCCCTTTTTCTCTGTCGTCCCCTTTCTTCTTGGTGAATCAACGTAATCCCATTCATTTCTTTCGTCCATGCAAAACCCTCCAGGTCGCCGTCGATTTTGTTTGAATTCTGAAGGCTGTTTTCCCTTTTGACTTCGCATTTTCATGAATCGGATGGCTCCGTTTCACTGGGTCTTCTTCCTTGTCACTCTCTGGTGCCTTCTTCGTGGCCTGGACGCTAGCGATGGCGATGCGGATCCGCTTTACAAGTGAGCGATAGCTTTCTGGCTTCTGTTGTTTATTGGCTAAGTTTTGTTAGAACTCGAATTTTAATTTTGAATGTAGCTAGTGTGTACTTGATATGGTCTGTTATGTTACTGGTTGGATTCATTAAAGAGAATTGGAATCGGTATTTTCAAAGTGTGCACAGAATGCTTCAGATAACCCTATCCGCAAAATCTGTATTATGCGGTTAGTTTTAGTTATTTCTCCAATTTCTATTTTGCAATTTATTATATAATTACATATGAAATTTCTGGAAGTTGTACTGCCTCCATAAATACAGGTGCTGTACTCTTCATCATATGTCAAGAATGGAGTGTGAGTGTAGTGATGCTTTGAAAATTTTGAAGATGGTTGTAGTGATTGAGAAAGGGGAGACCGATAATGATTTAAGATTTGAGAATTGTTTCCTCAAGGAGATAACTTACTTCTGTTAGAATAGTATACAGTTATAACTTAAAACGAGATCATACTGGCAGAATCTTTACCCAGCATCAATTGGTGCTCCTATATTATGGTTTTAGATTGACCTTAGCAGTTGCAACTTTAAGTTAAATACTGGCATATCAGTCATGGTTTGATGGAACTTGTATGTAAATATATTTTGGATTCTTGGTGACTACTGGTCTTTGTGTATCACCCATGTCAAGATATATTGACAATATAAGCTGCTCCAGCATCCACTCCCAATAAGCACACCTGTTCTTTATTTTCTGGAGATATTAGGTTTAAAAATCATGAGTGTCATAGGTGCAGTGAATAGCTTCTTTCCACCAAGCCATTTATAAATAAACTACTTGAATCAGTTGTAAGGACAAGAGGAGGGGCTCTGTTCTTTGCCCACACTTGATATATCCATAGGCTTACAGCTGCTCTGCCTGTGATCTAGCATATTTGTCTTGGCTTGACCATATTTCCTTCATGAAAGAAAAGCTCTAGGCATATGTTCTAACGTCTTAAAAGTTTTCTTTGGCAAAGTGAATCAAAGCCTTCAAGGGTACCTGTGAATATTCACATCGCTCTTGTATTTCCTGAACTCTTCTACTAGCTCCTGAAATTTGAAGCAACAATATGTCAAGTAGATCCGGGTAAATTTAGAGAATTTTAAGTCATTTATCAATTGATTTGTTCATTGTGAGTAGGATTTTATAGCTAGGACTTGAGTAAGCTCGAGGAGAAATGCCCTATTTGGGTCATTCTTTTCTGGAGTTAAATGATTAAAAATAGCACTGACAAATGGTGAGATATTATGCAACATGCATATGTTGAGACACTAGTTCACTCGACTGTAGTTTTAGGTACTCTAGCAGCTTGCAGACTTCTTTTTTTTTTTTTTAAATCCGGGCATAAATAAAAAGATTAGATTAGATAGAACATCATGCGTTTATGAAATTGATTTTAAAGTCATCTTAGGGGAACTATTGGCTTACTAATTCTTGGGGGTAGTATGCCATAAATGTTTTTGTCTGACTGATCCTGAAATGACCACTAAGCTGAAAATATGTATCTTGAGATCTATTGTTGACATCACAAATAACATTATTGTGTCACCCTATAGTCCATCATATCATCATTTTTTTTAATTATCATTATTTCTGTCAATCATTAGGAGTTGTGTGGAGCAGTGTGAGAAAACTGGATGTGTAGGGACTACATGCTTTCAACATTGTAAATTTTCATCAGACGGAAAACCAATTGATGGTCCATGGTATATGCATGAACCCCTTTACCTGAGGTGGAAACAGTGGGATTGCCGCACCGACTGTCGCTACTATTGCATGCTATCTAGAGAGGAAGAAAGAATGAAACTTGGTGGCAAGCCTGTTAAATATCACGGAAAATGGCCATTTCAGCGTGTTTATGGGATTCAGGTTCTTACATAGATCTCTATAAGAAATAATCCAGTTTTTTCTTTGGTCATTCTCACATTTGGTTATTTTATCTATGGTTTTAGGAGCCTGTCGCTGTGGCACTCTCTGCCCTTAATCTCGCTGTGCAATTCCATGGTTGGGTATCCTTTTTCATTCTTGTATACTATAAGTTGCCTTTGAGATCAAATAAGAAGACATACTATGAGTTCACTGGCTTGTGGCACATCTATGGGATACTATCAATGAATTCATGGTTTTGGAGTGCTGTATTTCATAGTAGGTAAGTGGTCCTCTCCTTGTTTAGCTTAGACATCTTGACTGTACTCTATAATTTAGTGTTGAAGATTGAAGAATGACCCCTTGAAGTGCAGTTGTTATTTTCTTCCTGGTTACTAAACATTGAAATTTTACTCAGTAGTAATCTTAAGGCTCATCAATAAGGGAAGGATTTTCTACATTGTGCCATCATTTTTTTTTGGCTTCCATATCAAGGGCATAAAATATTTTTCTTCATAGGAATCAATTGAATTTGAATAGAGCGGTTTTAGTGTTATTATATTTGTAAATTTTGTTGTTTATTGGGTAATTTTAATCTACTCTTTGTAGAGATGTGGAATTAACAGAAAGGCTGGATTATTCTTCTGCTGTGGCCTTGCTGGGATTTACCCTCATTCTGGCGATACTCCGGGCATTTAATTTGAGAGATGAGGCTTCAAGAGTCATGGTTGCTGCTCCCCTGATTGCTTTTCTGACAACTCATATCCTGTTTCTAAATTTCTACCAACTTGATTATGGTAATATTCTATTTTCAAATGAGATAACTGTTAAATGATGCATCTGATAATTATTCTCTTAATGATGCTGAAAATGACTGAAGATTACTCCAATATATGGAAATCTTTGTTGTTTTCTTTAATCACTTTATCCTTGGTTTTGCAATCGTTGTCTTCATTGCTAATAACTCCTTATTATTTAACACTTCTTTTATCCTTAAGTTCTAGTGGTCCTGGTTTGGTTTGTATTTTCCCACTTCTGCTCTCGTTTATGAACATATTTGTGAGCTTCCTACAATATGGTAAGTGATGACTTTTTTCAATAAGATTAACTTCTTTGACTTGTGGTCAATATAAATCATTCGAATATGACCTGTTCCTATATAGTTATCAATCTGTTGGTCATGGAGTGCTCTTGGGGGAATGTGCTGATAGCATATTGTTTTGCAGGTTGGAACATGAAAGTGTGCCTTGTGATGGCTGTTTCCCAGCTTTTAATTTGGGCAATTTGGGCAGGTGCTTGCCATCACCCAGCACGGTTAAAGTTATGGGTGGTGGTGGTGGGAGGAGGGCTGGCTATGCTCTTGGAGATATATGACTTCCCACCTTACATGGGTTATGTGGATGCTCATGCTCTTTGGCATGCAACCACAATCCCTCTTTCATACCTGTGGTGGAGCTTTATCAGGGATGATGCTGAGTTCACCACCACATCGCTTGTCAAGAAGGTGAAATAGTATTTGACTCAGCAAACATAGGGGTTGGATCAGACACGACAAGCTTGCTTTTGTTTGTGAATTAGAACTATCTTTTTCCTCGTGTATGCATTTGATTCCGATGCTTTCCACGATGGTTCCCTTCCTGGGTTTGTTTGGTAAATGCCATATTATTTCACCTCCCTCATGTGAGGGATCCTTTTGTTTTTTAAACTGGAATCTACATTTGCTTTGCCTAGTTCTCTGTTTTAAGAAGTCCCTTCCTTCTTGACAACCACTATCAGCCCCATATATTCTCTAGGAAATGATGTAACAACAGAAATGGGATTGAATTAATGGCTGGATGAAATGAAGGAATAGTGTGACTTTCAAACGTGTCTGACTTTCCATGAAAATGAAAATTAGATGCCTTTTCATATGCATTACACAGTTTGAGATATGTTGTAATGTTCATGCCTTAAGAGTAGCGTGGTTTGTTATAAATTTAATATTTCATATTGATGCTTTGTTGCCGCATTTTCTGAGCAAGCTAGTCAAAATATTCACTTACATGATTTGAATGTTAAGGAATCAAATACATTTGCAGTCTAACTTGAGAGATAGACTTAATTAGAATTTATTTGCATTTGTTACATTAGTTGGACATGATATACTCATTTCCATCGATGAGACAATCTCTTGAAATGAAAATACTCTATGCCCCCCTCCCCCATCCCTTTTTTGATTCATCTGGCAAAGGCAGGGCTTGGTGGGGTATAAGTATACGCCCCAAAGGTTCGTATATCAAATTTGTCATGTTATTATTTTATGCCTGTCAAACAACTGAAAGGACCGGCCTTGAAAGGTATCTAGCTAACTTCCTCTCTTTGCTTTATTACAAGTCAACGGAATAACCTATCCATGCATAGAACATAAAGGCATGAAGAAATAAGATTTCCTTGCCTAATTCCTTTGATCGTTTAAACTCTATCTAGCTTCAATTTTATAAAACATTATGAACTTGCATGAATCGCTATATTGACAGAGCATGTTTTGAGAAAATTGAACCTATTCAAAGCCACAAAGGCTTTCTTGCGCCTGTATTTGTCTATCTGTTAAATGCATATAATTGCTTGTCCAATGATCATATTATCTTGACTGCTCTTGAAGCTTATCTCTGGAAGTATTTTTGTCTTTTCAAACTTTAACGCATCAGCGAAGGCTTTTTGTATGAACGACCATACTTGGTGCCGCTAAGCTCCAACTTGAATGAAAATATGGTTCATTGTGGTCAAATTGCCTAGTTATTATCGAGCCATACTTTTGCTGTCAAATTTTACAACTTTCTGAATCCATATTTGGGCCCAAAACCACTCCATTAGATGATTCAAGTCTCCACATCACGCAAAAGTCTCCATCAGACCAATCTACCAATAACACTAGTTAGGGCCTCTAAGGACACACTGAAATAAAAAGGCAAGGGAAAATTATGAGAACCAAAAGCCATAAGTACAAATCAAAGCCCATATATCGGCGGAAAAAGAAGCCCATGTGGACTGTTTTAACAAGATTCAAATGCCTCTCAAGCACGAAGCAGCCAAAACAAAGATCCTCCCACGCAGAGCAACCATCTAATCAACATTTGACCATTGTGTGTTTAATAACCCCAATCGCATTTATTACAAAGCCTAAAACAAGTGTCTAATCATTATTTCACCGTTCCAAAGATGTCAAAAGGATCAAGCATAACTTGTAGAAACAATGAATTAGGATTAGTCACGTTTGTACGGTGCAAATTTGATAAGTGAATTGAGCACTAAAACTAAGGGGGTATTCGGGAACCTAGAAAATTGCTTTTAAAAAGGATTTTTCTGCAAAACGAAACAGGCTCCTCATATATTATAAAAGTATTTCTAATATCATAGTTTGGTTTCTATTCAAACGCTCCCTAAGAGTATTTGGTTTGTGATAAAAGCACTTTTAGAAAGTGTTTTTACGCAAATTGAAATAAAATTTTTCTAACATTTATTTTGTATGTTGTAAAACCACTTTTAAAATTATGATTTGATTTTTATCTAAACCTTCTTAAAAGTACAGTTCGATATTTGCTTTGACCTGTTGAAGCCCCCAAAAAAAATCTACTTTGACCAATAAGCCGCTCAAAAGTCAGAACATTTTATTAATAAATAAATAATGGGTTAACTAGAATTCAATATCTTGAAATATTTTTTTCAGTAATATTTCATATCTTAGGCTAATTTTTGGTGCATCTAGTATTTTAAAGTTATTTTTTCAATAACACTAGGTATTTTAAAGTTTAATTGTTGAGTTGATATTGATTCTAAATGGAAGACCTATTTTTCATATTTTTATTTTTTCTAAATTATTCTTTTTGATATTCTCTCAATTATAATCAAATAGGAGATGGAGGAAGGATATTAAGAAAGATAATTATAGTGTTTTAGAAAAAAAAAACATATCATATTTCTTATAATTAACTAATTTACTTAACTTTTTTTAATTTAATGAAATTAGTTAAATGGGTCTTACATTAAGAATAAAAAAAATAACTTTTTAAGCATTTAACACATGCAAAACATTTTTGTAATGGCATTCAATATTATAAGTTTATGATGCTAATTGTTACTAAAAAATACTTTAAAGTGATGAACACCTCAAAAACTAATTCAGAATATTGACTATCATTGAAAAAAATATTTCAAAATGATGATGCAACATAGCTCATAAATCATGGTCATACTCAAAAGTTTCCTAGCCATTCAAACTCAGCAAGCATCCCTTAAAGCCAGAAAATTTATTCAAGCCCACTCAGCCTGCTCCCTATGATCATAAATATAAGGTTGTCTTGAAAATTTTAATTTATTTCTAAATATAAGATCCAACTTCCTCCTATTTTCTATTTTTAACTATTTATTTCCTGTAACACCATATTTATTATAACATTTTTGTCAGCTCAAAAAAAAATTACAACATTTTTATACTCATTAAATAATAGGATACTTTTAGAAAAAGATTACGAAATCTTTACTTATTAATTACAGATAACCATTTTAACAATTTTTTTAATTTTACAAATTAGTTAAAAAATTATATTTAGTATCGGAGGGAGGGAGCGATTAATAAAGTAAAAATACAAAATTTGATCAATTTCAACAGTGCCGCAATCAATGGCGGATTCTCAGTCCTCCGGACAAATGCTTACGAAAGAAGCAAATATGGTTTTTTTCTGCGCCACTTGGCAATTGGCATATAGTTATAGAAGTCTCCTTTGAATATTATATTTTTATTTTTATTTTTATTTTTTTCCCGCCAACATTATTGCTTTTCACTCTATTGGCTTGAAGTTGCTCTCTCAATTATTGATATTAATTGGCCGAACAATTTTCTTGATTACACAAACAAAAACTGTAAACTTCCCTTAATTTTAGGGATTGGATAACTATGCGTTCCCTGAAGTAAGGGTAAAATCGGCATTTAAACTGTGAACTTCCCTTGGAATTAAGAAAGCCAAGAATGAACTAACTATTCGACAATGTATGGTAAGTGAGCTAGTTATAATGCATAATGCCTCATGCTTCATACCAACTTGTAAATACTCTTTTCAATTCTAAATATAATCCTCCTTTCAGTCCAATTTATAAATTTCAAATTTAGAAGGGAGTATAGTCCATTTTATAAGCTTTAATTTGATTTTGTTTTTTTGATAACATTAATTTGATTTTGTTTTAATATTTAATACTTTTTTATTTTATCTTTAATTATTTATTTTCTCTTTTTTACCATATTCTCTCCTATCAAGTTTTCCAACACACAATCTTTCATCCTTTTTCTTATTTATTACAATGACATATTTGAAAATAAAAATATATTTTTAATATATTTATTATTTTTAACTAATTTGAACTTATAATTCGTTATCAGTGAATTAGTTATTTGAAGCTTATAATAAAAATTTAAAGGAATATTAGATAAGAATATTACGTTGGCCTTAAATATATAAAATCTCAATTTTCTTTGTTTTTTAAATTATACTTTTTTTAAACTACTATTCTTATTATTACACGTATTGAGTTATAAATCAACATATTTTTTTAAAGAAATATTTTTTATAAATAATTATTTAGCTCGCATCGCGTTAGTCATAAAATGGAACTTTTTTATTGAGTTATAATTGTTTTTGTTTTTGGCAAGCTTATTCTAGAGGAGGTAACCCCAAAAAACACTTTTGAAAATCACTTTTCCATCAATCAAGATAATCTTCTACACATATTTACTTTGTATAAGTACTTTTAAAACTATGGTTTTATTTTTATCTAAACACTTTTTTAGAGTCGGAGACTCAGTTAGTCGTCACTCAAAACGTGGACATTTTCAGTGCTAAGTAGTACCTTTATTTATTTAATTTTTCACTATAAAGAAAAGTATATGTATTACAATTATTCTTAGTTAAGGTTGATCTAATACTCTAAAATATTTTTCAGATACCTTCAAGTATTTTAAAATATTTTCTGATGTATGTCTAGTGTTCTAAAATATTTTGTGACCACGTATTTAGAAAAATATTTAAAGATCTAGTATCATAAAGTATTTTGTGGTTCAACCACTATCTTAAAATATTTTTTCATGTATGTTCATTATTCTGAAATATTTTGTAACTGGACTTACCTAAAATTTTTTTTTTCAGCTCTAGTATTCTAAGGTTTTTTAATGATTTATTTAGTACCGTGAAAAATTTTGGTATTTCAAAATATTTTGTGATGTAATATCACGAAATAGAAAATATCTTAAGATACTAGATACACATACAAAAATATTTTAGAGTATTCGATGAATTATAAAATACTTTAAAATATTGAAACTATCTGAAAAATATTTTAGAGCGCTAGATGATTCTTAACCAAAAATAATTTCGATACATATAAATTTTTTTAGCCAAAAAAAAAGACAGTATTTTAAGACACTAAATACGCACAAAAAAATATTTTTTAGATACTAGATGAATCATAAAATACTTTAAAATACTTTTTTTGATAATAAAATTTAAAATCCTAAATACATCTAAAACAATATTTTAGAGTGTTAGATCAATCTTAACTAAAAATAATTCTAATGTATATAATTTTTTTTGTAACGAAAAAAAGAAAGAAAAGAAACCAAAATATCCTTAAAAATACTAAATGACAAATGAGGGTATCTAAATTTCAAAATTCCAATTCAGACCCCATGTACTTTTTAAAATTTTTTAAATCTTATAAAATTACACAAATGCTCTTTACTATTTTTTTTACCTTTTTATTTAAATACTACCACCTTAGCAATTCTGGCCACCGGAGCTCCAACACTGGCGACCCTACCGGAGACCAACCATTGGAGCTCCAGTGATCGATCGCCACCGGAACTCCAGTGACTATTCATTCTTATGGATTGACTACTCTTTTTTAACTATTGATTATATTTATTGTTAAACTATGATGACATGTGACCTTTCTTATATA